ATATAAGATATAGTTTCCCAGGGCACCTCGGCGTGGTGTAATGGTTAGCAAGCTTGTCTCGCTAGATCAGTTACAACTGAAAAAGGAGTTCGATCCTCACTACATACCCCATACTTTCGGCCTTGTGCCACATCTAAGCTATGCTTGGAAAATAACTATAAGACGTCTCCCAAATTTTCAAGTTAAAATGTAAGTTTCGAGCTATATTCGCCGTACAAAGCCCCCCCACCCAAATCGTATTTTAAAATGTATTGAATTTATTAAATAAATTCAGTAAGTCTACACTTTCTTTTCACTCCAATTCTAATGAAAAAAAAAAAAACGGTGGGTAGATATTGTTAATTAACCACCAGAATCTACGATACTTAATGAGTGGGTGCTGTGTTTTTGGTAGGCTATTATGGTATCCTGAACGACATTTCCCCGTTAACCATCCACTGTTCTTGAAAGCGATCTTTAAACGACTTGTTGAGACGCACATCCAGTTGTTTTATTGTTCAACATCATCGAAAAAAGGAGGTGAACCAGGAATGAGGCTACGGTCAAAAATCACCCATGCTAACAAATTACCATAAACCACAGGATTTAAGGTTCACATTTTATACCTGGAGTATAAGACACACCTCTATTTATTTATTTATTTATTTATTTTTTGTGGTGGGATCACGGTTAAAAGGTCGCCTTGTACGCCGATTTGGTTTTTTTTTGTGGTGGGATCACCGTTAAAAGGTCGCCTTGTACGCCAATATATACGGTATGTCTCAATTTAGCGGTGAAAGTTACACAGGCATTCCATTTTATTTAACTATTTAATGAGAATATTAATGCCATTCTCCAAGTCCATTTTAAAATAACTGACTTTTTGTTTTCAAAATTTTCTAAAATTCCCTTTCTTCTTAATTTTGAACAAACTCGAGTACCAGTTTCTTCCATTCATCTCCGTGTCACCCCATGCAGCAATCGATGGGCTGCGCCCAAATACATTTACTTGTACTATTTTGCAGTTGATTTAACACCTAACATTGTAAGTATGATTCAGTACTAATGGTCGCAGCTCCTACTAGCAACTGCAGTATTCAACTAACTAGACTAGTTGATTGTATCGCTTATCATCCGCAATTGATCAATACATATCAAGCCAAAGTATCGATCTGCTAGTGTTCTCTCAATGAAGTTTGCTCTTCTAGGTGACTAAGGCTATGTTTGGGTCCTAATCATTGAACTCTCTAGCTAGATTGGGCCTACCAGCATAGATCTCCGGATCATAGCTGCACGCAAGGACGTTAATCATGGAGTGAAATTTATTAGAAAAAATTGTTATCAATAAATTTTAATTAGTTGTCCTTTCGACTTGAATCTGTAGCGTTCCTGTCGGTTTTTATCAGTTCATTTTTACATTCTACGACCATTAAGTATACAATAAGTTGGAAACAGAATCTTCCAACGACGCTTGAACTCACATCCTCACCATGTAACAAAAAAGTTTTATAGATGAATGTACGAAAACTAAACAGCAGGCATCATTCATATATAATCATCACAATCCGTGGTGCTAACTTAATGGCTGTAGAATGTAAAAAAAAACGACTTGAGGGTTAGGACAAAAAGCAATAAACAAAAGACGAAATAAAGCTAACACTAAGGTTAAAGAAAAAACTATGCAAAGATTCATAATTACTCAGTTATTTTAAAACATGTAGACAAGGCATTTTTCTGTGTGAGGCGAGAGGTGGCAAGTTATTTGTTGCTTGCGAGAAAGAAAACTAGATAAACGCAATTCATTTTATTTGAAAGATCAAATGACAGAAATAGAACGCAGCGTTTTATTTTCGGGTGTTACGTAATTGCAAGCAAAGAACGCTGCCGAAGAAAGCCACGTCTCTGTCGTTTCGCGGCAGCTTTTCACAGCAGAGTCTGGAATTTTGACGCATTCGATTACATAAGTTGTACGGCAGCAGCAGCAGCAGCCAAGGAATTGTATGAAGTGCCACGGTCAAGGACAACACTTGGTTTCCCTGGAGGATATCGAATAACGAATTTTCAACCAAACACACAAAGCAATTAACAGGAATAGAGGTCATTTCTTTCTATTTACTCATTTACCGCACACACACACGCGCGTGCGCATACAAACACACACACACATATATATATATTTGATTCTGGGTAAATAGAACATCAGTTACAAAAACTAGCTGCTTGGTATGAGCAATTGTTTAAGACCGGATTCAGACGTGGTATTTTGTCCTTTTTATGCAAATCCGTTTCAAAGTGACGGCTTATTAAAAGGACCAAAATTCACAGTCTATAATACACACACCTATCTATCGATATATATATATATATATATATATATATATATATATATATATATACAGGATAAGAATATATAGTGATTTTCTAAGCATTGCTTAGATGCGACACAAGGCCGAAAGTATGGGGCACTCAGCGAGGATCAGACTCACTATTCAGTCATAACTGTTTTAGTGAGACAAGCTTGCTAACCACTACACCACACCGAGGTGACCGAAATATAATAATATATATATGATAAAAATATAATTTTAAGTTATACTATATTTATAGGTAAAAGTGCTCAAAGATAAAGCTTATACAAATATAAAAGTGGACTCAGGTATCAACAACAAGCAGCGACAGTCTGTTTCATGCTTGAACACAATCTTCAGACCATCCGATTATTAGTTGCATCTTTTCTTATGCTAATATACGTGCCGATTCGCCTTAGAAGAAAAATACAAATAAATAAAATGAATGAATAAATAAATCTCACTGTTTTTGTGTGGCCTCGTTTCCAATAAACATTACACATGGTATCCCGTCAGACCGTTTCAAATTTCCAGCATCGCAATGAATACCAAGATGTAGAGAAAGGAATTCTAATTCCCACGCTGACAACGCATTAGTTCTTGATAATGACTGTGATGGTCGAAAGTACTGGAACAAAATACCAACAAAAAATGAACTAAAACACAAAAATCAACACCTTATTCGGAAAATGAAAAAAATAATGAGAAAATTAAACAGACAGACCTTGTGGGTTCTTTTGAATCAAACTTGTTTGTATGAATACTTGCTGCCTAAATATACCTTGACAACGAGTTCCCCCTTTGTGAGATAGTTAAAAAGGCACCTTTGGGTCAGAAGATTTGTCTTCCCTTCTCAACTGAAGACGCCTACTTGACTACTAAACGAATACGAAACGCGTGGTCAATAGAAAAAGTTTTCCAATTTCTCATATATATATATATATATATATAGTTTTGAAGAAAGTGGACGTCATATCTAAGGCACCTTTCGGCCAACGCTTTATCAAAGATATTCGTTGGCAATATTTAATATAAATGAACACAAAGACAATAAAGTGACTGAGGAGGGAAAGGTGGAACTCGACTAAAAACAATTTTAATTATATTAATCAAAATCGAATGAGTTACCTTGGCTTGGGAGGAAATGTCAGCTATTATTGGACAAAATTTCAGCGTCTATTCTGTTCACACACAATGCTGTTAAGTTGCGCACGGTTTTTCATACTAGAACCCTGCTTCCTTCCTTTTCTAAAGATAGGCTGTCCTATTTTCATAAAATCTCTGTTTATAAATTTAAATGCCGTTGCGACGCGGTTTGCACAGGACGTACCAATCTAAGGTTGGAAACGAGGGTGGCGCAGCATGTTCCTGCTTTTGTACGTTCAGGCAGTACCGGCCAGCCTATAAGAACAACTTATCCTGAACATTTACTTTTCTAGATCTTTTTACATTAATGCAGGTGTTCCCTCCAGTGCTCTATCCTTCATCTTACTTTGTTTTAATTTTCATTAATGAACTTCCTGATGGCATCAGCTCTCAACTTGGTGTCTACGCTGATGGCACAACCATTTACTCTTGTCTTGATAGTAAGTCTAATCAGTTCGGTAAAGTCAATTTGACAGCTGATCTCAAAAATGACCTACAGTCTGTTGTTAACTGGGGCAAAGAATGGCTTGTTAATTTTAACACCTCCAAAACGAAACTTCTCTCTATTAATCATCTGAGAGACCTATTTCTGCCTTCCATCAGCATGGCTGTTGCTAACCTCGAGGAGAGTGATTCGTTGCACCTTCTTAGGTAAATTCTCAGCTGAAATGAAGTTGAACGAATTTATTGCTAGGTCAGCTGCTAAAAAATTAGTCCACTGCGTCCTACTAGACAATTTTACTCTCCAGAGTCTATCTTACATATCTATAAGTCTACCATTCGCCCATGTTTATAATATTACTGCCACATATGGTCCGCCCGGTGCTTCTGCTATATATTTAGAGATTCTTGATTAAATCCGAAGAAGAATCAGCAATATTATTAGTCCTGGCCTAGCGTCTCGGTTTCAGTCACTTTCCCACCGCCGTAAAGTTGTTTCCCTTCGCCATTTCTATAAATGTTTTCATAGTAATTGTTCAGATGTGCTCTTCGCTATGGTACCTAGACTTTATGAATGCTTTCCGGCCAACTTTGATCTTCAAAAATTAAAATTAAAATGCAATGTCAATCGTTATCTACTGTTCCTGATTACTCTTCTATTGTTATCTCTCCTTCTGTTTTCTAATTCTTTCACACCCAGTAACCTCTTGTGTCTTTGTAGCTTTACTGCCCTATATGGGCTAAATTCGATTAAAAAAGAAAACAATAGGGGTGTTGTACTGTAGTAACAGAACACTCCTCCGCTTGGCATGTTTATACGCCACAATTACAATCTAGACCTTGTGAAGAAGGAGAGTTCCTGATACACGCATTGTGAATAAATTTGATTTTTTTTTTTGAGAGAGAGATTTCGACATTTGTTTTGAACATTTTCCTTTCTTGTCTCCACCAGGAATGACTTCTGTGACTGGACTTCAGAAGCCATTGTCTTCAGAAGCACAATGCTCCCAGGCTAGAGACTGGATCTTGGGATGCCCGTTTCCTACGATTCTGAAGAGAAGAGAAGTATTGTTTTCCCCCGTCTACCGCAGAAAGTTTGTGCCAGGGGCAGCACGTATCTCCCAAACTGAGGTAGAGGGCGTGCTGTCTTTCTGCGTAAAAAGTGTGACAAGTGTCATTACGAGGGTGTCATCTGGGTGTCACATCTGCCGTTGGTACGGTGCCTTACTCACATTTTATCAATTTTTAGTACATTGGAAGTGGAGCCATTGCCTTAAAGATATATTCCGGTCCCAAAGCTACAGTGATTTTTTTTGTTGCTCGAAAACAGCAAACGGCCGAATAAAGACCAAGTGTTGTCTGTATTGCAAGAAAAACAATGGACATTTCCTCTGTATTCCAAACGTAAGGAAGATGTTCCATTCAGGTAGATTTTTCTTAAGAATCGCTGCTTTGTGGAACATACTCCCATCAGGATGCTTCCTTGAACCTCTACAATGTTAACCACTTCAAGTCAAGAGGCAATCGTCACGTATTTTCCATATCCATATAATCTTCACTACATACTTACTACTTTTATGGATTACATCAAGTCTGATCAGTAACTAAATGAGCAACCGCTTTAGAATACCAAGTGCTGTAAGATTGGATGTGTAAGTGAGGTAATGAATAACGTCTCGAAATTGTTAACCGGGGAGATGAGTTCCAATTCCCGTCGGGTACGTTATGTTTACTTACGCGCAAATACCATTGGGAATGGTATGAATCCACATCTTTTCCTTCAAGCTATGGGTTAATTAGTAAGACTTTTATAATTAAATCATTATTATCACACCCCATAATATAAAAAAGTGTTACTTTTGCCACTTATATATATATATATATATATATATATATATATATATATATATATATCAAGTAACTGATCCAACGTGCAAATTTCGGATAATAACTGTGACATTCCTATATTTATCGAACAATTTAGTTCATGCCACATTGACTGAAAAACCTAACAGTACAAAAGAATTCTCCTATTACTATATTGGTACAAAAACGCATAATCTTCAAATTTAAAAATTCAACGTCAACGTTGTGACCGCACGCTCCAAAATTTCTTACAATTAACAATAATACATTTCTAAAAATATATTTCGGATTACAGCTATTCTTTTGTTGTCCTGTTATTACCGAGATGTAAAAAACAAATCTATTTCCATACCTGATGATGTCTGTATGCACAGATGAAAGCTTGTAAAAAAATAAAAAAAAGACCTTATGCAACTGGAATTTATAAACAGGGATCATAACATTCATCTACAGGTTCGGGGTTAATGTACTTTATTAAATTTGTTTGCGAAGATGTATTCTCGCCATTTATATCATTTACTTCAATATCTGTTTTATATATATATATCATATGTATCAACACAACGATTTTCTTTCTTCCTTTAATAATGACACCAAAAAGATTGTTTGTGAATATGAAAGGATCCAATTGAAAATAAGTAGACAAAACTTGACTAAATTATTCAATGAAACATGTCTCAATGAACATGTCAAAATCGCTACACAATTGCAGTCGTGTTTCGATGCCTATCAAGATTAATATTATGAGTTGTTAAGGTAAAGGAAAATTCAATCTATTTTAACAACTCATAATATTAATATTGTCTGCTCTTATAATTTAAGAAAATTTCTTAGAAAGTTATTCCTAGCATTGCTTGACAATGGAACGAGACTGGATTTTAAGTTTAATTTTTATAATTAAATTTATAAATTTAAGTTCAATTTTGAAACATGGAAATTTTCTGTGTCGCAATGGAATCATATTTTTAAAAAGAAAAATAATTATAATATTTTGCTCTACTCTTTGTATCGTGCACTGATATATATGATCACGGAGGAGATCGTAAGTACTTGTGTAGGAAAAAAACTACGCAGCCTTCCTTGATGAATATCATCTTAACATCAAGAAAGGATTATTATAAAAATAGGCATAAAGTGTCTATATTATTCAATGAAACATGTTTAAAGATTTATATATATATATATATATATATATATATATATATATATATGAAGAAATATAATTTTAAGGTGTGCTATATTTATGGGATAAAGTGCTCAATATAAAAAGTCAACATTGAAGTCAATGCTCAGAGGCGACTGGCATATATATATATATATATATATATATATATATATATATATATATATTATATTATATTATATTATATTATATTATATTATATTATATAATATTATATTATATAAGTGTGGGGGTGTGTATACATCCCCAAAAAGCGATGCCTAAGGTATAAAATGCATTTCAAAAATGAAAAGTCTTTATTGAATTTTTTTGTTTGTTTTAATTCCAAGCTAATACATTTATTTTAATATTTCCAATAAGCGAAACGTTTTGCTGCATTTCAAACTTTAATATTTCAAAATTTAAATTGATTCGAATTGTTTTTTTAATCGCTAAACTTGTTAAAATCGATCATATTCCAAAAATCTGTTTCAAACAATTTTCAAATATACAATATACTTTTCTGAAATTTTATTTGAGGAATATTAACTGATAATATAATTTAATTAATCTGAATTAAAATAAATATTACTTTTAGTTTAAAATATCGTTTTTTTTACATAGAGGTTTTTTTTATATGAAGTATTGACACATTTATAAATTACCTGATGTTTGTGAGATTTATCTAAGAGGAAATACTTGTAATAAAATTACATGACAAATACAACGGGAAGGCTATTTTTAGATATATTTTAAAAATACTTTAAACTTTAATATTTTATTGAATTTTAAGTACTTTGGCTTTATAGCATTATTTACTAAGACGCTTGTTGAGGAAATGAGCAATTAATTTTAAATTCACTAAAGTTATCGCTTTTATTTTCTGATAATGTCGTGTATGGACATCCGTATTTACAAAGAATCGGCACGTTTCTACACACACCAAAAAAATTTGAAAAAACTTTTTAAATTGCTGGGTGCGCTGAATTGTAGTCAAATTTTCCATTTATGATTAGTAAATATAGTTTTTATTTAATAAAAAAAATATCTCTTCACCGCTAAAAATTAATACAATATTTTAAAACTTTATAAATTAATCTAATTAAAATCTTTAAAAAATGAAAATAATTCTTGTAAAAATTAATTATTCATCTTTCATATTCATTTTTCTAAAAGCAATAGTGCCCATAATATATTTTATCAATAAAAACAATTAAAAGCATTTCTAATTAAATAATGTCTTAGTTTTATTGCATTTTTTATTTTACGATTTAGAGCAAATTTTTTGTTATTGTGATCCGGCTTGAAACCAAAATTCTGATTTTTTGCAAGAATTTCTAAATCAACGCAACAGACGCTCAAATTTCCAATACTAATTTATGGTAACCAAGTGAGGCCAGAGGAACGAGGTTTTTAGCCAAAGTTCCGAAGCTTCTAAAAAGTATTGAAAAAAAAAATGCTTTGATCTTTCCTCTTAATAATAACGCAACGATTTTGACGATAAAACTTTTTATTAATTTTTGCGCATTTTTTTTTCATTTTTTAGCGAATTATATAAAATTTTCCGAGTGTTTTCCAAGTGCTTTCGGCTGTACTTTTAGCCATTATGAAGAATGAATTTTATTTTACTTTTAATTGAACATGGCCAATGAACAATGTGCTGACCATGTTTGGAAAATAAAAACATTCCTATAATTCTAGAAATATACATAAAAAATCTATACATTCAGTTAAATGAAAAAAAAAAATTCATCCTTGATAATGGCTAAAAGTGTAACCGAAAGAGCGTGGAAAACATTAAGACATTTTTATACAATTTATGTCCTAAAAAGAAAAAATTGTACGAACACATAAAAAATTAAATTAAAAAGAAAACCCAACCACTGCACATAGTCAGTTGTTTTCAACGAAACTTGCATAAAAGAGGGATTGCTGCCCAAATATACAATATACATATATATATATATATATATATATATATATATAAACACGCACACACACACAAACAGGGTGACTGAAAAGTAACTCCCCATTTTACAATATCTATAATTTATTAACTATAATTTTTGCAGGAAATGGGTATGAGAGGAAAGCGTTTAGCATGAGGTTTTATTTAAAATTCCATATGGGCACCAGATTTCGCTACCAGCTTCTCGAGTCGTCACGGATCGTGTCAACTGATTTCACAAGGAACTCTTGTGGTATAAAAGACATAACTCCTTGTATTTTCCCTTCAAGTTCTTCCAAAGTCTTTATGTCGTATAGTAGACTTACTCCTATAACCAACCCCAAAGAAAAAAGTCCCAGTGTGTTAAGTCTGAACTCCTGGCTGGCCAACTCATACATAAAATAGACAGTTACTTTTTAGTCACCATGTGTGTGTGTATATATATATATATATATATATATATATATATATATATATATATATATATATATATATATATATATATATATATATATATATATAAACATCGTAATTCCATCTATGGTTTAAGAATGATAATCTCTAAACAACTTGCTTTTATTGAGATGTATATGACGTGCATTGAAACTTCACTACATACGTTTGCAAAAGGCACGTAGCCAATCGAGGATTGTTGTCCCCCAAGAAAATTATTTACTCCCTTACCCTATGAAAAGGATGTGGATTAATTTTTGTGTGCAAATTCTTGCTGACGCCCACGGTTGAAAATGCCAACCCCTTCCCACTCAAAACATTCCGGCAAAATTAGGTTTTCATACAATTTCGTTTTCGCATCATTTACAAAATGCTTTTGATAACTGCAATTTCTTTTTACTTATTGCGTGAATATGTCTAACATATGCATATAATAGTTGGCCTACATGCATTCAAATTGCAACGGCGCAACAACCATTCTTCTGTTATAATTATTGGACAATTTCCAAAATAATTCCCTCTCTCTCTCTCTCTCTCTCTCTCTAACTCATTCTCTCTCTTATCTCTCTCTCTCTCTCTCTCCTTTTCTGTTACTCTTACCTACTTTCTTTCCCCCTCCCTCCAAGTACTCCTTTCTATCCACGTATTTTTCTGATTAAAAATTCATTTATTCTCTTCTCTGAATTGAATTTTTTTTTTTTACCTTTGGTGTGTGTGTGTTTTTCTTTTTCGCCATTTTCTTGCATTTT